TACTGGGAAAAAACCAATAACATACACTATTTCATATCATCAATTAGTATCATGCAATGACTCGGAGCCGAAGCCATCCCACTATAACTAACCTGTACCAGAAGAGTTACGGAGAATAATTCTAGCACAGCAACTTTCACAGACTGGGAGATCTTTGCGACTTGATGTGTCAATAGAATTAGTTAGATAGATCCAATTAAACCTTTGATTTAACATATCGTTGTCGCCCGGGGTCAAATCCCGGCATTGAAACCTCGCAGGCACCGTTATGATTACTGGGGCATCGTTCTTATACAAAGCATCGCACTTGCTGCCATTCTTGGGTAAGGGTAGAGTAATTTCCTTCTTTCCTCCGAAAAAAGACAGAGCGTCGGAGAGAGAAAAAACCAATCTGTCGTCCACAATAGCGGAAGTCGTCAAGAATGAACAGTTCAACATCCTTCTCCATCAAAATTGATAGAGGATAGCTGCCGGAAGCTAAAGAACAGGTACGATATATTTCAGACAAGTGACGAACGAGATATGATTTCCCACAACCGCTCGGACCGGCCAAAGATAGATTACAGTTTCGACTACGCCCGACCTCGAGAAGCTTGACTATTGCGGTCGCAAAGTGAGATGGTTGGATTTCGTTATGCGATAATATCTCGAGCATTGCGATTTCCGTCACGCCTTTGCACGCACAGGGACCTTGGGCGGCGTTCGCTGATCTAGCCAAACGAGTCGTTTTAGTTCTCTTGGCCTCTGATGCAGAGTCCTCGATGTTCCATACTCTACATAGAAGGTTCGAAATGGAATCCTTCTGATTGATGATATACTCTTTCACATTCTTCTCCTGATATGCAGCAGCCAGAAAATCGCGTTCGGTCCGCAGTTTGTTCGTCACAATCCACGGGGCGAGATCGCTCAGACGCCTAATCCGACAAGACTGTCCGGTATCTCGCTTCTCATCAGAGGCTCGGGACTCCTTCAACGAGGGTTGCATCGACATGGCAGGGTGATCACGACTCAGATATAGACTAGGATCTATCTTACAGCAGTACGTGTAACAGCTTAAATAGCTTCTGAACGACCGAAAGTTGACAAAAAAATCTGCTATCTCAAATATTTGGCCAGAGATGGCCATCGATGACGTCTAGATGCACAGGTAGATACACGAAAGTGAGTTCCTCCGTTTTCACGATGCTCTTCTGAACAAATACAGTAAAACTTCAAAGGTATACGTTGATGAAGGAATGCTTGCTCGACTATTCGTCCGAAACTCTCCTTGCTCACATCAATCTTGGGGAGGAGTGTATTCTCATTGATGGTACAGGGTTTCGCCCATGTGATAAGATAGTAGCAAGAATAGTCAGGAGAGCACCTCGGGGGTGTTGCGGTTATTGGAAGCTCTGATATGCGGTCCTAAAGTCACTTGAGCATGGCATCGTATGAGCATGGCTACATTCGAAGATACAGATTCTCACCTCATCCTTAGAAGCCTGATGATCGACAGACGGATATATGCTCAAAGGAATATCATCCGGTACCAGAAAGTCTACGATTGACCCAATAGCCGTGTCGAATGTGAGGTTTATATGTGAGGAGTCAGATATATTCGCTTGGGACTGAGCGGCCGAGACATCTAGGAATTCCATGCCAATCAACGGGAGCTGATCAACCGATCACTGATCAGCAGAAAATTAAGAAAAACATAACTTGGAATATTCTCTAGAAGTCAAGTGATCAGCTGATCATCTGATCAGGGGATCAGAATGGACCGCACGTGTTATACAGCAAATGAGGTTCTTTTCTAGATAGGTACCTCAGCGCTCGAAAAAATTAAAGCGAACGGAATTGTGCGAATTAAGCCTTTGATGATGATACCTTGTACTAAATGATGATCGTCCTTTCTCTAGCCTCCCAGGAATGTTCCAATTACAAGGCTCTATCCGTACCCAAGATTGACGAACAAAACTGTCCCCGGTGTTGCGTAAAAATTATGTTGACATGCACAATCATGGGATAATTCACAGCTAACTGGTGATCGCCAGAATGGATCAGTATTTTGTCAGCCGCCCTCTACTCCGCATAACCATCTCCAAACACCTGGTCATGCTATTGATGAGAGTATCTTCGTCGATACTAGAATAAATATCTTTCACTCGCTCCACAAATGCCTCTTTGCCTGGACAGGGACATTCTGCAGTAGCTG